CCAACATGCAAAGTAATGTTGATTTTAAGATTAAACATACTTTTATGTATCAGAAAATTTTCAAATTTCACATAAAAGTCTTTATAATCTCCAGATAATTATCAAACGTTTCTCAAGAAAAAACTTTATATCTTATCTGTTATCTTCAATTATGAATCTCTGTACAAGTTTGGTCAATTTGACCAATCTCATAACCATTAGGAAATAAATATAAATTATGCCTTTTTCATACTAGAGTGACTGTAAATTATAACACAAAAACATAAATGTTTAGACTAAATAGCTTAAATCTCATAACATTATACATTTATATATATTTATTATTTTTTAACATGCTTACAAAATCGTTCAAATTAATGAAACCCGTACAGAGATTTGTTACTCAAAATAACATCATTGTAGCTTCTGTATTGTTATCCAGGCATGGCTGAAAGGTCAATATAATATATATAAAAGAGTTATATGACAATATGGTACAATATACAATGGCAAGTATTAAACACACACACACACACACATACTAATTTCTCTTTGTTCTGTTGACTTTGGTGCCTTCACAAGGACAGTGACAAATGACATAAAACAATCAATGATTATAATTTGTGTTTAAAAACATTTTATTTTTCTGATAAAGTTCCAGATCAATAACCAGATGCTAAAATAGATAAGTTACCAAATAACTGTCTGTAGTTTTTAGGTTTTTTTGAAGTAATTGTATGTTAAAATCAGTAAAGATGGTTGAGCCTAGGATTCTACTAGGTTCTTCTAAAAGAATACTAGCTATAGACTGAGTTGAGTTTTGTGTCAGGAAAGAATGACAGCACATTTCTTGTATCCTTCTGAATCTTTGAGATCAATTAAAGAAACAGTGTATGAAAATCTTCCGAGTAATATATACAAGTTTAGCTCATTAGGATGTTTGCCTGTCTCTTGTCATTGAATAGATAGAAGTAAGCAAATATTTGCAATCAATCATCAAATTGTAAGAAGCTAAGTTGTGCTGTAGTTGTGGATATAAGTATAACAACTTTAAACTTCAGAGGTCTGAGAAAATGATAGATAAAAAATCCACAAGATGGGATTTCTTTGTTGAAACTCCTGTCATATCCCAGGAAAGATGCCTTGTTTGTGATGATGGTTAAACTTCATCAAGCTTCAACATTTAAGATTTTTGTAAGCAAATATGTGCATGTTTTACAAAGCTTGGTGCAGGTATGCAGGTAATATGATTTTGCAAGATACTTTTTACTTGGGACAATCTGTCGGAAATGCCGGATGATGAACAAAGAAAGCTGCATGGCTTAGCTGTGGAAAAGTTGATATCTTACATTGTGGAGATAAAGGTGGAATCTGATATTGCCTTAGTGTTTAAATCTGCCAAAGATGTTTTCATGCATTTACTGAGTGTGACCAGATTTTTGTTCAATGCAAAGGAAAGAAAAATGCATATGATATTTTGTCTGCTTATGAATTGATCGCTTCAGCTTTTTGATTTTAAGTTCTTCCCCATCAGATGACTCTATTTCTGCCATAATGCGTGACCCTGCATGCTTTGTGGGTTTTTTGTAGGGATAAAACTGTTGTCTTTACGACAACAGACCTGGACCAGAAATACATGTTCACAAAGAAAGGAAGGTCAGTTGAACTTATTTTGATTACTAGTGCATCTTTGTTCCACATATGAAGTGATTGGTATTTCAAGCTGGATATTGTTAGGGCTAGTCCTTAATCAAAGCACCAGAAATGCCATGTCATTCAAATTTTGGACACTGCTCACAGAATCAGCTAACTCCTGACTGAAGCTTCTGAATTACGACAACAAAATAGGAAATGGATTTAGAAGGAGGTGTTTGTACTGAAAATCAGTGCACCGTGCATTATGTAAATGTAGTGGGTATTGTGACCAGAGTAATAAAAAATAATAATAATAACATTTTGCTGTATAATTTTATATTGTTAAGAATCTATAATTTTATTAAAGATTAGTGGTCATTTTTAACTGAATTCAGGTGATATTTTAATTGAAAATGATCAGTATCTATGTCATTATGCATAGCTTTGTGTTGTAACCCAAAGTACAAATTGTTATCAGCATATTTGACTACATTTGAAAAACATTCTTGATAGCCATTTTAGATGTGATCCTTATTTTACATTAAAGTGGTTCTCTGTCTGAAGATACTTTTTTGTAGTATGTTTGCCATTATTCATAGGCTCAAATTTATGTCCAAAGATTGTGTGGTGGCCATCTTGACTATTTTGGGACAGAATTCAACGGACAAACAAAATTAACAAGTTTAAACCACAAGATTTTTTGTTCTCTGGAAATCATGGTGGCTGTCTTGAGTAGAATTAATGTGGGTCTGTGTTTGAAAATTATCAGTACCACCATACTTATTGACATGTAAAGTTTCATGCTTTTAATCTATTGTGCACAATTTTTTACCATACTGCAGGAATAAAAGGTTATGTCACATATAATTAAGAGTTACATCATTTTTGCCATGTTATGCTGCTAAGCCTAATTTTAAAATTTAAATTTGTTTTAGGAACTTTTTAAAAAAAAAAAAATATCAAATTATGTTTTTTAAATATGCTATTGATGTTACATGACATTTTTTATTAATAATTTTTGGATTACAATTGAAATGCCTATCTTCTTCAGCTCTTATCAAGAGTTTAGTTGTTTTCAACCCAGTTCTCATGTTTTCCTGCTTCTAGCAGTGACTTAAGTATTTGTTATTTTATGAGTTCCATCTAATTTATTTTCAAGGTAACTATCAAAAATATTTTACTTTATAAGCTTTGTGGCTGTTTGGTGTTTTGAAACTTCTCGTTACCTCTGCTAAAATTAGTTGGAAAAGTTTAAAAAAGCTGGGGCTAAAAGTTTGTAATTTATGGCAAATTTTTTAAGTGTACTTGGTTTTTCTTGTACATTAAAAATAATATTTTCTAGATAATTTTTGTAGCATTAGATATTATAGAAAGAATGGTATTTTCCAATTATTTTTTTAAATTGTGTAAAAATTGTTTATAATCAAACTGATTTGACAGAATTCACTAGCTTTTCCTTATTTCAAAGTTAAATTTCTTTTTTTTTCGTAATTAATCAATGAATATAAGATATATTTCTAATTCTGTTCTATCTCAGTCAACCACAACTACAGTTGTTTTTCTTGTTTCAGTATGAATCTTCGGGAAGTTTTAAAAAAGTATGGTAAAGATGTTGGTCTGCACATTAAAGCAGTGCGTTCCTACAGCCAGCAACTCCTTCTGGCCCTAAAGTTATTGAAAAAGTGCAATATTTTACATGCTGATATCAAGCCTGACAACATTTTGGTAAGTTTAAATTACTTTTCTTAGTATTCCTGTTCTTAAATCTAACAATGATAAATGCAATTTATAATTTTGCATGCAGTGAATCACAGCATTATTTGCTACTTATGATTCAATTTATGAATCTGAAATAGTTGTATTTTGTTTTATTTATTACTGTCATGTTATGGATATTAAATAGATTATATTATATATTTTTTCCATGCAATTTGTGTGTAAATTAGGAAAAACTATTAGAAACAATTATATTCAAGGCTAAACATGATTACTGTTTATTATATTAGTTATTATAAGTAAAGCTTTAATATTGAGTGTGCAAATTTATTGGAGCACTATAGAAGTTTTTCTCTTGGCAGCAGGTGAAGTTTTAAAAACATACATAGAACATGGATAAGCAACTTAATGATGCTGGACAAATGCAAGTGTACTGATAAAGAAATATAAATAACTCATTAACCCTCTCTGCCCGGGCATCATTTACTGTGCATGTCACGAGGTTTTAGGGGTTTACATTCAAAATTTTATTAAACTATACTTTGTTTATGTAATACCAATTAATATAGCATAAAATTGTAGCTAATAATCCATATTTTAATAATATATAAGTTTTAAGATCTTAATTTTATAAGGCAATATTTTATAAAGTCCTCAATAATCTTATCTATAACCAATATAAAGTCAAGGTTTTATCTATCAAATGACATATTATATTATATTCTGAACAGAGAATTATCAATTTCTCTTTTAGTACAAGCTTTCTTCCCACAAGAAAGATATCGACTAGCTTGGATGAATTTGTAACAGCTCGTTTTGCATAGTTAGAAAACCAGAAAAATTGTAATAGTTAGAGAAAATTGTCTGCTTTTTGCATGTTGTTATTCTATGTTCTTTGTGCATTATTTAATTATATAAAAATTATTTAGTGCATTACTACCATTAGTATAAAAAAGTAGGGTTAAATGTCTTCGACAGTTGACAGGAAAAAAAAGAAGACACGGTAAGTGTTTTATTTCTTGTTTTTCATGTTTCATCTTTATTTATTAATTATTACACCAGTGGAAAAAATATGGATCTCTTTAGGTTAGTCAAGGTTAAGTTAGGTAAAATATATATATATATATATATATATACACCTGGAAAAAAGTTAAGCACCCCCGTGTTTTTTTCAAGTGATTCAGATTCGACGTTCTTGTGACTGATTATAAATTACCATTCAATCTAAACGTGTTTATCAAATGAAATTATGCATTATTATCACCGTAAATAAAAATTTTAATTTACATATCATGACATCAAAATATGGACAGTTTTCACGCTTAAAATTATCTTTAATAAGTATTGTCAGTGAAAGCTCAAAAACGTTATTGAATTGTCAAATCACATTACAAAATGTCAATCATGACCCACTCATTGATAATTAGTCATCGAAAAGTCAATATCGGGTATATCCACCGTTTGCTTGGATGACTACTGCAACCCTGCGCCGCATACTGCCAGTTAAACGTCTAATTTGTTGAAACATTATCTGACGCCATTCTCGGTGCAAGTGAGCTTTTAACTGTTACAAAGACTGCGG